AATGATATAATTTAATACGCCAAAGATTCCTTGACAAATGCCATAAAAAATTATCTTTATTATTTGGAGAGTAAATGAGATCCTATTTCCCAGTCGTAAGTAAACACCAGAGCTGAAACGACCATTATTGTTCCTTTTTTTCATAAATCAAAAAAATTACCTAAAACTCACGCAATATTACTGAAACTTCACAAAAATATGCTATTTAACTTATAGTTTCAATAAATTAGATATTTACAAAAAAATATTTAATTTTTTTGGTTTTATAATGAAAATACCGAAAGTAATTGAAAAAAGTAATGATTATAATCATTACTTGCATTAAATTTTACATTTCTTCAAATTTTCCCCTTTTAAAATTATAGGATTTTTGTAATTACTCCTTTTACAAAAAATTTAGATTTATTACCATATATATGCAAATTTTCAGCAACATTGACCGAGTCATTAATAGTTTTTGAACGGTATGAAAAAAAAGTATGCAGTAATCTTGTTGTTGTTGTTTTGCAGCTCTGGTAAACACTATTTAATCCATTTAATGCCCTCAAAATTCGGATAAATTTAAATTATATAAAATTTAATATAAATCGACCATTTTCACAACATTCATTCTCAAACGCTACTAATTTTTGGGTATGAAACCTTAAATGAATTAATTTTCAATATAATAATTTTTAAATTACGTTTATCACATGCCAAGAAAAGAAAAGAATACCAAGAAAAAAATAATGCATAAAAGATATCGAAATTAATTTGGGCATCAAATAGTTACCTCACACCAAATGTCATGCATTGAACTAGTGTGGTCCAAATGCTCAAAATAATTCTTCAAAAGCTTCTTTCAATATTATGCCGACTTATTCATTTTCAACAACCCAAATTCACAGTCAAATACGATTCACACAAATTTTCCAGGTTTCATTCATGAATTTTTATCTTGATTGAAGTAGAAAAATGAAATTTCCCTCCAAATAATTTGTTGTACACACGTAATCTTCATTGCGTCAAAATATGAGTACATCATTAACTGTCGGAATGATCGTTTTTGCAGTCTAAATGCATAAGTTTTGTAACAAAACAGCAATTTTTCACTTGAAATTCATTCATTTCATTTGATACATAATTTTTTATTGTTTTTACCATTTTCTATCACCAGAATAATTGTAATAGAATTTATAGAATAAATTTTAGATTTTTTTCCGTAATTTTCACCTACTTCATTCCCATAATTTTCACCTTTTGCCAATTATCGGCGCTTGATTTTTTTTCGGTATAAATCTATTTGATTGTTTACTAAACAATTTGAAATCATTTGGTTTTTTTTTTCAATAATAAAAAATAGTGAGTTTGTTTTTGTATTATAATATTTAAAACATTCTTATATATTATGCGCAACGCTTTTTCATTTTAAAGTCTAGAGACATAGTTAGAGTTTGAATGATCATTAAATATTTCTTTTCGCCAATCGTTGAAACAAATTGTTTCACGAGTCAATTGTTATTTCCATCACTTTATTTCCACTGCTTCAATCATTCAATGAATATGTTTAAATAGCGTTTTGAAAATAAAAATCGATTGTTCCATTCCCAAACACAAATACATGTACAGTTTTTACCGGTTAGATAGTGTTACTTTCATGTATCACCTGTCATTGCCACCTTCCACTCCTTCTCTCTCTCTCTCTCTCTCTCTCTCTCTCGCTATTCTTGCCAATTAGATTCAGATATTAATTTCCTATTCTTGTGTCTCTCTGAGTCGTTGTTGCCGCACAGCTAGTGTATATTACAGTGGCCGTACGGCTTGTGGTTGAATCATTGAATCACTATCAAATCAATCTATTATTACAGATCAGTATGTGTACATTTGTTTTTGTCAGCGTTCGCAGCGTAAACAAAAGTATTAAGTACTAATAGCTGGGTAGAGTATATTTAATTTTGGTATCTGTTACGCTGGAACATCTCTACCGTCTATTCGGCGTACAAAAATGAATATGAGTTTGAACCTCCAATCACAAGCGATGTGTACACACATATGACAAATGCAAAACAATTCCGAGTCATTTCATATCATATCGAATCGTATTGAATTGGCCGCTCGGTTTGGTGGGGCCATTCAACATCTCTTTTGCGTATTACATGCCAAAATTGATGAAATCAAGTAATTTCAATCTCAATCCGTCTGAGTACATAAAACTTTTAATAGTCTTGTATATGTGCTTCAATTGGTGTTTACGTGCGTTGTTTTTCGTCAGGGATTTAAGTGAATCAATTACGACTCAATCACGGCTTAATCATTAATGCATCGTTCAATCAAGGCACTTGAACCATTGAGCAAATTGTGCGCCATGAGAACGCATTTTGATTTCTTAATTATATGTCCAGCAGTGTATTTATCTGTGCTCTGAATGCGAGTGGTTAGAGGCGAATATTATCTCGCTCTTAATATCGCATCGATCTAATTTGAATGACTTTTTTTTCTTTCTCTATCGATGTTCTATATTTAAAAATGTGCAAATAAGAAACGCGAATAGACGTGTGCTCTGATCGAAACGATAACAGCCTATTTTAGCACAACTTGCAAAATTTGGCCAGTACAACTGAATCATTGTTGTTTCTAAGTGTACATGTGTATACACTGTGCACGCTGAAGGCTATTTTACACACACCAGTGAACTAATCGACTTATGAGTGTTAATTCACATTGCAATACCATCAAATGGCTAATCTCATTTACCACACCAATCGACTGTCACTTGCGTGTGTAGTTTTTGACGATCGAAATTCGGGATATTGGATTAGAATAGAAAAAGATCAGGTTTTTTTATTGTAATAATCAAAAAGGCGCTTGTGTACGCGGCGGCGTCCTATCTCAGCGGCGATGAAGGAAAATCCTAAGTGATTGAAACAAATATCTATTTCTTTCGGTTTATAATTGAAACCAATACATGCACTTGTTGTATGTGAGTATAACGAGGCATGATTCTTTGGTTCATGTTTCAAAAAAAAAAGAAGTGGTTGCACGTGTGCTCATAAATTTAATATTATTCCGAATGAATATCATGCTAGAAAATTGCATAGACGTCGTTGTTATTACGACGTATTCGATGCCGATAATTACAGATGTGCGCTGGACGATTTTGGACAAACGAAGAGAGCAAAAGTGAAGCGGTTAACTGGCCACTGTTTGGTTTTGGTTAGCGTTGGGTTCGGTTCGACTTGACAAAAGGTGGATCGGAACACACGGAACTCAAGCGCACGCACTTAGACCATTAGGTAATCTTTGCCATTCTATTCTCGTTGGTCGAGATGATTAAACAATGCCTTGACAGACAACCATGTGCACACAAACACACGCCGAAGAAGACAACAGGCTGTTCACTTGGAACCCACATCACTTAATTGCCGAAAATTCGGTTGCTTGCATGATTATTGTGATTATTATTGTTTTTTTTTTCTCTGTTTCGTTGTTGATTATTTACATCGAGCATCGTGTGTGTCGGTAAGTTGTTGTTTGTGTTTTCGTGCCTCAAACAACTTAGTCATTTTGAGCGATGGGGCCTCCTGACAAAAAGTACATGTTAATTTGATCGATGTACAATGTTCAAGTCTCTTTTTTCTCTTTCTCGCCTTCATGTATGCTGTGATTTGTGGATAAAAGAAGTCGAGACCTTGAAATTTTTCGGCAGATCGCTTTTTTTGCACGTCATGAGCATGTGTTCACTGTCAATTTTTTTTTCCGTTGTGCCGAATTTGCTTTTCCCTTTCGCATCTTACGGCTTGGGTTTTTTCTTCCTCTTCTTTCTTTTGTTGTTGCTACTTTTTCTGCACTGTTTCTCATTCGTTTTAGCATCCTATTGCCGAACATTTTTGGTTGTCTTTATTTTTCGCTATGCTGACGCTAGATTTTTTCTCTTTGGAATGCCTTTCTTATTGGAGTTCTAAATAAATAAACGTATTTCTTTCTCATATGGGGCCAAATTTTCAATGATTCCCTTATTTCAAATTCAATTTTTATCCAATTGAATTTTTTTCTTGTAATTTTCAGGGCAGCGAAAAAAGGCTTCAAATGAGCATCAATTTTACACACTTATTTTTTGTTTGTTATTTGTTTCCATTTGAAAGGAAAGAAAACTGCAAATTGCTGTGAACGTACTTGATACATGACATTCCCGTATGAATTCAATAGCGTCGGGGAGCTAGGAACAAAAAGCACTAAGAACAATTCGCCCAGTCATACACGACGCATTGTGTGTTGAATCTCACTTCGCTCTTTTTTCTTCGCTCTCTTCACATTTGCTTTTGTTGATTTTTCGGCGAATGCACCCATTTATAATGGCTATTGAAAGCGTCTGCTGAGACCGATCGACGGTAACAATCATTTCTCGTGCCAAGTGAATCCGATTGTCACGTATTTATCGATTATATCGTTTTGGCTGCTCGCCTCGCCTTGGCTTGGCCACTCTTGCCAAAATAAAATATTAATAAATGAGTTTCGGGTAAAATTCGTAGGCGTAATGTAATCATTAAAGCACACTACTCGTTTTTTGCATCAAGTGCTAAATGTGTTCCAACGCAAGGCGGGTGTGAGAGACAGCCAATACGCGCGCACTCTTCTCGAATACACTTTGCTCGCACTTAAGAATTATGTACGTCAACAATGGATTTGTGAGTTTGGTTTCTTTTTCTCCTTTTATTTCTCTCTCTCTCTCTCTTTCTCTCTCTCTCTCACACATTTCGCTTCATTCTTCACTTTATTCCCATTCTTAGTCTCGGCTTTTTGATTAATTAGTGTTTGACAACCAAAAAATGAGCTTGCATTGTCTGCTGCGTTCAGACATTTGTTGGCGGCTCTTCGTCATTTTTATCGAGGTTTATGACCAAAAAAGATGGCAAAAAAATAATCTTCGTAAAACATAGAGTGTCTGCGTGAGTAATCAACAATCGCAATAGAGAGAGAGCTCTCTATATCTCTCTCATGTTTAAAATTTAAAAATTTGTGTATTTTTTTTCTTCAAATAATTTTTTATTCATTCAAAATTGATTCAATATTTTAAATTGAATAATAAGAAAATCAATACATTTAATTGTCAATATGCAGCACAAATTTCAAAAATAAATGGAATGATTTCATTCTTTCTTCTTTATGTCGCTCATATTTTTCTTATTTTGATAATGACTGTGGAACACACACCATCGACAACAGCAAAAAAATCTAAGTGCAAAGTATTGACATTGAGATTTAATATCATCATTGAGCCGCATTATCCACAATTTTTTTTATTATATCGAAATATTCTTTATAATGTTTGCTCGACTTTCTATCAATATGTTTAGCTTCCAAGAGTTTCTTTTGTTCAACAATAGCATGATCAGCGGTGTCCAAGTTACTTTGTAGATTCCACGACTCAATGTACTTCTTTGCAAAAGTCTTGTTGCGTGCCAAAAAACTTCGCCCGTCAGCACTACTTCGATGGTTGCCAATCTATATAAAAAATTAATAAATTAGTGATTTTAAGTGGAACTATTTTTATTAGGGAGAATCTTTTTTAGAAATGGATGAGATTTTCTTTTATTATATCAGATATAATAACAGTAAGTAAAAATGAGTTCAAAAATACCTGAAAGTCGACAATACACAGATTTCTTTCACCATCAATGCCATAATTTGCCGAATGAAGATCCACTAGGAAAAGAATATGACGGAGTAAATCGAGTTGCGACTTTTGTTCCTCGACCATATTTGCTTCACTTTTTCGGGTAAATCCGGCAACTAGAATGTAAATATACAGACGACTTATATTTGCGTAAAGTAAGGGCAAATTTACAACTTGCACTAAGTGCAAAAATGAACTTTATTTTACTAATAAATAAAGACTTGGGTTCAAATTAAGTGTAACGATAGTTGAGGGACCGAATTTGGTGAATTACCCTTAATTTTAATTATTTAACAGAGAATTAAAAATCGAGGAAAAAAAATGTCAACAATTTCAAAAGTTACCATCTTCCGTGGCAATGTAAATTCCGAATCGAGATACATGGATGTTCCGTAGAAAGTGCACTTTTGGGCCAACTTTTATCAGTTCTAGAAGCTTGTATACAAACAATTCTCGAAGATCGACCCCAACATGATGAGATGTAAGAGTTGAAATTCCCAAATGTGTCTTAATATGATATATTGTAGGCTGAGCTCCGCTTTTACTCACTTCACAAATCAAGCCGCCCTAAAAACGTTTTATTAAAAAAATCAATAAAGAATCAGAGCTAAAAATACACTTATTTGCTAATATTTAATTGGACTTACTTGAGCACCGCTCTTTTCTTTTGGCTTAAATGCTATTTCTACGTCTGGATTCTCACCCCTGTTTGCGAAACGAATGGAAAAATAAAATTTTGCGGCCATTTTGATGTATTCGTGGTCCACGTCTACATAATGAGCGTATTTGTTGTTGAACTCTATCATTGTAAATCCGAATTTTGGGTAAGCATGAAAGAATTTGTCTTTTACGAGTGCTTCCAAATATTGAATACAAATTTTCACGTTCTCCTTAACGATATGTTCCTTTCTTTTGTTCTTCTCAATATCGTTGATCATTAGTTTGAAAGCATCCCACATGTTTAGTCGAGAATGTTTCTAGAAAAAAAAATCAAATTCATTAGTAAATATGCTTTACAATATTGATTTTCGAAAATGTGTTACAAAATTAAAAGGAATTGAAACACTTACAAGTACGAGTTTGTACTCGTTCCCAGTACCAAGATGAGCCAACAGTCCAGAAAGTGTGTCAATTGGGTTCTCATCGAAATAAATCTGTTGAAATTCAGGCTCGATAAGAAAGATACGTTTCAATTCTTTTTGCAATGCTTCGATGGTCGCCTAAAATGGAACTTTTGAAATAAATTTATGCATCAAAATTAAAAAGAAGCAAACCTGGTCATTGAGCGTAATTTTGCTTCTATTGTGCTCCTCTCCATCATTATCTTGAAGATTAATAACGACTCGCATTTTTCAAAAACAAATTTGGAAAAGAAAAAAAATCAACTTGCTCAAAAATTATTGTTGAACGTTTAGCTGTTGTTCCAATGAATAAGCAATAATCATGTAAATATGACAGTCTGTCAAATTGCGGATTTTTCTAGAATGTTTGGCGTTGCCATCGAAAGTATTTTAAGTATTTTAAGTATTGAATTGAAAAAAGGCGTTCATGTGTGAATTACAAAAATGTTGACGTTAAAAATATTTGCCAAATACGGAAAAAAAAATGTTTAATTCAAAAAGATGGAATGAATAACGAAAAATATCAAAGGAATTTAAAATCAAAATGAATTCATTCAAACAGTTTCTACCGCTATTAATGTTGCCAGTTAAGTTGCGAGTGAGTCGGATTTGCTTGAAATTGGTCGTGAGTACATCAAGCTAACGCATAGAAACGCTATTTCATTCCGTTGATATATTACACATACAGAACGTTTTGGTTATATGTTGTGTAAATTTAATAAAATTATCAATACGCGGAAAGAGAAAAAATGAAAAAAAATCATGATCATTCACTTGGGAGGCATAGAGATAGAGAGATAGTGGGAGAAATGTTGTTTTCTTTTCATCATTTCATTTCATTTCATAGATACAGGAAGAAAAAAATTATTTTTTTCAGTACATTTGGAAAAAAAATCATAAAATTCACCGGTGCACACTTAAAAACAGATTGTTTACATTTTGAAATGAAAAAGCTTCATTTTATTTGTTTTTTTCATTTCAGTTGAGTTCTCTTATTCGTTGATACGTGCTTCCGTTCCTGCCGAACTTTTTACATGCAACAAACATAGTAAGCAGTGTGTGTGTGCGGCCATGTTTCCATTGTTATCAAAATTCATTCCATTTCATTCATTCAATCAGAAATATTCGTTCGTTCGACAAGTAAAGACGTGATTTTTTTCAGTAACAAAATAGATTATGGTGGTAGATTATGCTTGACTGATGATAATTTTTTTCACTTTTTCCCTCAAAAAATGCATGAACATTCACCAATGATAGAGAACGAGAGAGAGAGAGAGATAGAGAGAGAGAGAGGTGTTGTCGATGATCATGTTTCTTCGTGTATCGAATACACTCATGTAAGAGGAACTAGAAGAAACAATTGTGTGTATGTGTGTGTGTGTGTAATGCAATATAATAAGGAATCGTTTGTCTTCTTTCGTATGTTCGGGTGCCCTAGTGAGTGAATGTATGTATGGTCGAGTAATCAAATGAGTGAGTGGGAGAGAGAGAGAGAGAGAGAGAGAGAGAGAGAGGTGTAGTATACAATCAAGCGAACGAGGAAATGTGTGAGTGTATGGACTTCGCTCTCTGGCTGACGCACGCACTCGCACTGCTACCGCATGGATGACGCAAGGACCATGCGGTTGACGCAAGAGTTGGGCCAGAATCCCCATTTTCCTACTACTTACTCGATTACAATTCATTTTTATTCTAATCAATTTCAAACGATTGACAAGTAGTGGAATTTTATTAAAGTAAATCTATACTTCACCTGCAACACAAACAGCTTTATAATTATCGACGATAATTTATGCTGTGTAAGTTTGTTTCATTCAGGTTTCGGTAGAAGAGCTGTCAATTTCTCCCATTCACGATACTAGCGCCACTGAGGTATATAGCAAATCAATGTAAAGTGGAGTTTATTTTTTAACTAAAATACGCGGCATTTTTGAAATTTCGTACTATTTCCGCACCTTGGTTTCATTGCACAGATACAACAGATGGAGAACCATATAAATAAGACTGAAAGAGTAGATAATCGCATGAAATATTTTTGACAACAACTTTATGCCGATTTAAGTATTTACCAAGCCAGTTTCAATCTCTGTTCGATTTCCATAAATTAACCGCATCAAACTCATTACTCGGGAAACAGAATCCGATGGCAGTCCATTACATCGCTTTAAATCCATTTCAAATAGTTCGAGCGATTCCCTATAATCGTCATGAAGAAATTCATAGTATAGCGCTCCGTATTCGTTAAGAACTTCCTGTTGTTTTTGTTCCACATATGCTACATTCTGAACGAAATTTGTGGCATTCCATCCTCTTAATATCAACATAAGCTGAAATAATGAAATGATGATGCAAATACCATAAGTACGTTTGATTAAAATTCTTAAATAACATACATTTTTGTACAGCATGTATCCGATTCCCCTATTCCCCGAACATAGCCCACATTCCTTCCAATCATTCACTACTTGTAAGCTAACGCGTCCAAAGTCCTTGGACATTTCTTGGTAGTATAGTTTCAACGCCTTAGCGTCCTGAGTGTCTGGTTTCATTCCTCTATAGTGTAAATACCTTTCTTTATATCGTCTGTTCAATTCTGTCTTTGAAAATATCTATAAAAGTATTAAATCATCAATGGAATCATGTGTAATTATTTTAATTGTAATTAAAAGCAAACCTCTCGCGAATGTTCCCACAATTGTTTCACTTGATTTCGTAGTTTTCGATCTTCCAAATTCAGTTCATATTGTTGTTGTTGGTCTTGTTTCGAATAAATATATTCAAAGCAAAAACAGATCAATGCAAGAAGCAAAATTAGCCTCATTTTTCTAGCAGTACGTCCAAACAGTTTTGAAAAACAGTTCCAATTGCCAACGTCTAAGCAAATACAAAGTAACTAACCCACGACAGATGAACACAATTGAATAGGAAATGTATCCAAAAGATTAGTAGAAGAAATAATAACAACCGAAGCCCAACGAGGAAATAGCCAATTTTATTCAAGATATCGATAAATCAAGTGGCCTAGTCTAAGAATTCTTTGTTTGTTATATCAATCCAAGCCAATCAGTGTGTATCACCACAATAGATTGCTATGAACGCTTTGAAATATTGAATTATAACAAACAAAGAATTTGAAAAGTCTAATAATTGAAAATGAAAATGATTTATATAATAAAGCGGCACATTCAACAACAACAACAACAACAACAACAAAAATGAATGAATAACCAAAAACAAAATCAACCATAACTATAACTACAATCCTTACTTAATGTGTGACCAACAAAAAAGGCTACCTAAATAATAAACTTTTTGAACCACTTCAATAAAAACCAACAACAATAGCAAAACAACAAATCCACCAAAATGGAAGGTAACGTTTAAAAAAAAATGAATTTCTTGGATAAAATGAACGATAACTAATGTTTTATTTCGTGAGACAACAATGAATGATCGACATCGTAGTTAAAACATCTACCTTTTTCCGTTCTAAACCTAATCTCTTAAAAAGCAACCCTTTAATTCAAATCGTAAAATCAACCGGATCACAATTGAGCGCATCAATGGATCATGTCAAAATTTAAACATCAACACAAACAAATCCACCCCCAAACCCTCAACCATAAAATAGCTAAAAGACACAACACATATTTGCATGCATTTCATTTCACCTTCGAAATTTGAGTTTAATTTTTGTTTCTTTTCTTATCACACACAGGCAGCAATGTCAAAAATTGGAAGTAGTGATAGCAGTAGATGCCGAATGCGAGGGCGCACAATATTTTAAAAAAAAATGATTTAACTAATGTGATCGAGTGACCACTGTGACAAAAACAAACGATCCAGAAACAAAACGCAAAAAAAAACACATACACTCCGAACGCAATGAAAGAGAGAATGAAATAAAAAGAAAACGATTAATGTGAAGAGAGAAGAAAAAATAAGAGAAATATCGAGAACTGCCTATGCATGAGTTATAATTTTCTGCATTTCATTATTTTTTTTAATGCACACACATATAGAAACAGAGGGAAACAACAAATAATCGTTGTTTTTAATCAATAAGGAAGATTAAAAGAGAAAACTAGAACGAGTCTGTGACTAAGACACACACTTGGATGAACTGAAGAAGCAGCATGCCTTCGCAGCATTTTCGTGTAAGTTCCGTTCGCCCGTAGAATATTAACGATTTTGTGGATGATTAGTCATTTTGTAATGCGAATACTATTCCATATTTATGGGTGAGACTGAGAGTATCTCTACTCTAGTATGTTCCACTGAGGAGAGAAAATTTTCTTCAACTTAAAATTGGTTAAAGGGAGTATGTTGAATTTTGGTGGATTTTTAGTAAATAATAAAGAGATAACGGTTTGATATCACCGGCACAAATGTTACACACAAGGTGCTCTATCACTTTACTGCAAACAAACATCTCTTATCCCTTAGCAGGTTCACGAAAACCGCGAAAAAAAACTCAGCCGTAGCATGTCAACATAGTCTCCTTTAACACAAGCACGACAAACATGAAGACATAACATTGAATGTGAACATGCTGCTGAAGAAACTAGACATTGTAAATATCTCATCACTTACAACTATAAAAGTTGTTGACAGCATGGAATGAGATCCGTTCATTCGATGCTATTTCGATCGATTGGAATTCACTTTCGTCGCAACAATATCATCTTTAATTGAAATCAACGTA